GTTACCCAGAATTATCTTGAGCTTATGGGTTTAGGCAATCCTCCCACATTGGCCTCCCAAAATGCTGGGATTACAGGCATGTGCCACCACATCCTGCCGCCACCCTCCATTTTTTTTTTTTTTTTTTTTTTTTTTGAGACGGAGTTTCACTGTTATTGCCCAGGCTGGAGTGCAATGTCTCGATCTCAGCTCACCACAACCTCTGCCTCCCAGGTTTTCTTTCTTTTTTTTTTTTTTTTTCAAGAAAGAAAAAAAGAATAATAAAAAGAATAAAGAAGAGAAAGAAAGAGAAAGAGGAAGAGGGAGAGAGGATGGGGGTATTGCTTTATTGCCCGGGCTAGAATGCAGTCTAAATATGGGTATGCCTGTAATTGTCCTTAATAATGGAGACATAAAATAAAATGAGGGAAGAGAATAACAAACAAGGAGCCAACCAACATTTCGTTTAAACTTCTAAGTTGATATGATGTGGTACTGATAAGAGTGTATATTTTGTGTATTTAAAGTGGAGAGTTCTATACATGTTAATTACGTTTACTTGTTCCAGATCTGAGTTCAAGTCCTGGATATCGTTGTTAATTTTCTGTCTCATTGATCTGTCTAATATTAATGTCGAAGTCTCCGACTATTATTGTGTGGGAGTCTAAGTCTCTTTATTAGTCTTATATGTCTGGGTATTCCTGTATTGAGTGCGTACATATTTAGGATCTTTAGCTCTTCTTGTTGTTGCATTGATCCTTTTATCATTATATAATGTCCTTCTTTGTTTCTTTTGATCTTTGTTGCATTAACGACTATTTTATCAGAGGCAAAAATTGTAACTTCTGCTTTTTATTTATTTATTTTAGCTCTCTGTTTGGTTGGTAAATCTTTCTCCATCCCTTGTTTTGAGTCTTTGTGTATCCTTGAATGTGAGATGGGTCTGGATGCAGCATACTGATGGGTTTTAGTTTTTTATCTAAATTGTCTGTCTTTGGATTGGGGGATTTAGTCAATTTAAATTTAGAATTAACAATGATATATGTGAGTTTAATACTGCCATTTAATATTAGCTGGCTATTTTGTCCATTAGTTGATGTAAATTCTTCATTATATTGATGCTCTTTTTGGTATTATTTAGAAAGGGTGATACTGTTTATTCCTTTCTATGTGTAGTGGTTCTTTCAGAAGCTCTTGTAAAGCAGGCCTGGTGGTGATGAATTCTCTGAGTGCTTGCTTGTTCACAAAAAACTTTACTTTTCCTTCACTTATGAAGCTTAGCTTGGCTGGATGTGAAATTCTGGGTTGAAAGTTCTTTTCTTTAAGGATGTTGAATATTGGTCCCCACTCTCTTCTGGCTTGTAGGGTTTCTGCTGAGAGATCTGCTGCAAGTCTGATAGGCTTCCCTTTGTGGGTAACCTGACCTTTCTCTTTGACTGCCCTTAGTATTTTCTCCTTCATTTCAACCCTGGTAAATCTGACGATTATGTGCCTTGGAGTTGCTCTTCTTGAGGAATATCTTTGTGGTGTTCTCTGTATTACCTGGAGTTGAATATTATCTTGCCTTACTAGGTTGGGAAAATTTTCCTGAATAATATCCTGAAGCGTATTTTCCAGCTTGGATTCATTCTCTTCGTCACATTCAGGTACACCTATCAAGCGTAGATTAGGTCTTTTCACATAGTCCCATATTTCTTGGAGACTTTGCTCGTTCCTTTTTATCCTTTTTTCTCTAATCTTGTCTTCTTGTTTTATTTCATTGAGTTGGTCTTCGACCTCTGATATCCTTTCTTCTGCTTGATCAATTTGGCTGTTAAAACTTGTGCATACTTCATGTAGTTCTTGTATTGTGTTTTTCAACTCCATCAATTCACTTATATTCCTCTCTAAATTGTGTATTCTTGTTAACATTTTGTCAAACCTTTTTTCAAAGTTCTTAGTTTCTCTGGATTGTGTTAGAACAAGTTCTTTTAATTCACAGAAGTTTCTCATTATCCACATTTTGAAGCCTGCTCCTGTAATTGGAACACACTCGTTCTCCATCAAGCCTTGTTTCGTTGCTGATGAGGAACTGTGATCCCCTGCTGAGGGAGAGGCGTTCTGATCTTGGGTATTCTCAGCCTTTTTTGGCTGTTTCCTTCCCTTCGTTGTAGATTTATCCATGTGGTCTTTATAATTACCGTCTTTGTAATTGGGTTTCTGAGTGGACGTCCAACTTATTGATTCTCAGCGCCGAAATCTGAGCAACCCACTGCGCCGACTCAATCAGCGGCGTTAAGATTGATGGTGCTTTTCCAACTCTGCACCAAGAACCGACGCTCCGAGGCGCCGGCAAAACTGCCTCGCCGGTCAGAAGAGTCGCGCTGGCGACCCGTGGGGCTCCTCCGCTGGGAATCTCCTGGTGCGTGAGCAACAAGAATTCATGTGAAGGTGTGGTGTCCTCTCGTTCTTTGCGTTTTCACTGGGAGCTACAATCCCGAGCTGCTAGTGATCAGCCATCTTGGATCTCTCCGCCTCCCAGGTTTTCAAGTGATTCTCCTGCCTCAGCCTCCAGAGTAGCTGGGATTACAGGGATGCGCCACCCAGCCTGACTAATTTTTGTGTTTTTAGTAGAGACAGGGTTTCTTTGTGTTGGTCAGGCTGGTCTTGAACTCCTGACCTCAAGTGATCCACCTGCCTTGGCCTCCCAAAGTGTTGGAATTACAGGCGTGAGCCACTGTGCTCGGCTACTAATTTCCTTTGAAATTTACACATATCTGTAGGGAGATACAAGACTAGGTAAACAATTTTTTTTTTTTTTAGACGGAGTCTTGTTCTGTCACCTAGGCTGAGCCACCACACTCAGCAATAATTTCTTTTTTTTTTTTTTGAGACAGAGTTTCGCACTTGTTGCCCAGGCTGGAGTGCAATGGCGCGATCTCGGCTCACCGCAACCTCCGCCTCCTGGGTTCAGGCAATTCTCCTGCCTCAGCCTCCTGAGTAGCTGGGATTACAGGCACACACCACCATGCCCAGCTAATTTTTAGTATTTTTAGTAGAGACGGGGTTTCACCATGTTGACCAGGATGGTCTCCATCTCTTGACCTTGTGATCCACCCGCCTCGGCCTCCCAAAGTGCTGGGATTACAGGCTTGAGCCACTGCACCCAGCGTAATAATTTCTTATAAATAAACTTTTCATGTAATTTTTAATCTTCAAGTATGTTTTATTAAATTAACTATTAGATATTCATTAGGTATGTGGATTATCTCCAAGTAAGAAGAAATAACTGAAATAAATTGCTGATCATAAATATGTTTTGCCTGTGCCTGTCTTCTTAAATTTTACAGAATAACTAAGTATAGCTGGTCTTTTTTTGTTGTTAAGTGACTGTCACTTTGCAAAAGAAAATATGGACAGCTATTAAGAGCTGTGTAGTGTACCGGGAATGTTCCAGCCCAGGGATTTCTGTCTCTCTCTCTTTCTCTCTCTCTCTCTCTCTCTCTCTCTCTCTCTCTCTCTCTCTCTCTCTCTTTTTCTGAGACAGAGTCTCACTCTGTTGCCCATGCTGAAGTGCAATGGCACGATCTCGGCTCACCGCAACCTCTGCCTCCCAGGTTCAAGTGATTCTCCTACCTCAGCCTCCCTAGTAGCTGGGACTACAGGCCCCTGCTATTACACACAGCTAATTTTTGTATTTTTAGTAGAGACAGGGTTTCACTGTGTTGGCCAGGCTAGTCTCAAACTCCTGACCTCAGGTGACCCACCCGCCTTGGCCTTCCAAAGTGCTGGGATTACTGGTATGAGCCACTGCACCCGGCCAAGCCCAGGGATTTCTGTCTATTCTTCCGCCACCCGGCTGACACATGCTCACCCACACATACATTGGTCATACGACTTTGGGCACGTCACCTCCTTTCTTTAGGCCTTACTTTTGTCATCTGTGGATGAATGAGTCAAACTAGAGAATCGCAGAACGTCTCCCAGACTCCAGAGCCTGATGACATCTCGTCACACTGCTCCAGGCTCCTCCCACCCTCAGCCCCAGGAGAGAGGGACAGACATGGTGAGCAGGTAGGATGACTGGGGTTTTTATACCCAGGACTCCTCCCATTGGCCTGACGTTTTTGTTCCCCAAGCTCACCTCACTGATATTTCCAACCAAAATGGAGGCTAAATGGTCTGAAGAGAGAGACTTATGTTAATTAAAAGTCTGAGGCAAGGGCCAGCATGGTGACTCACACCTATAATCCCAGCACTTTGGGAGGCTGAGGCAGGAGGATCTCTTAAGGCCAGGAGCTCGAGACCAGCCTGGGCAACATAGCAAGACCCCATCTCAACCCAACAAAAATTAAATTTAAAAAAAAGTGTGAAAGAGGCTGGCCAAGCAGGGGGTGTCTGAGGGGGCTGGATGGCAGGAGCAGATCTGGGAGGCACTGTGGATTGGACAAGGCAGGACGGGGCGGGGCAGCCTCCCAGGAGGAGCAGCAGGGGAGGCACCATGGTTCTCTGAGAATGTACAGGCCAAAGCCTCTGTGTCTTTTTTTATTTTGAGATGGAGTCTTGCTCTGTTGCCCAGGCTAGAGTGTGGTGGCTGGATCTTGGCTCACTGCAACCTCCATGTCCTGGGTTCAAGTGATTCTCCTGCCTCAGCTTCCCGAGTAGCTGGGATTACAGGCGCCCGCCACCACACCCAGCTAATTTTTGTATTTTTTAGTAGAGATGGAGTTTCGCCATGTTGGCCAGACTGGTCTCGAACTTCTGACCTCAGGTGATCCGCCTGCCTTGCTCTCCCAAAATGCTGGGATTACAGAGATGAGCCACCGCGCCTGACTCCTGTGTCCTCTTTCTCAGCTTCTGTGTGAATGTTCTGGGGCCTGGGCCTGGCTATAGGGTGACACTAAGTTCAACAGAGCCACTGCCCATTCCAGCCCCACCCTACCCCAGGAAACGCCTCCTCACCGCAGTGACCACATCCCCTTGGGTTGCTTTGGAAACAAACACTCCCCGGGGGCAGGCAAGTTGGGGCACAGTTGCTCAGCAACAAGCTGTGCCCTCCCTTCCGCCCTCATCGGAGTCCGGGCCTCTAGGTCTGAAAGGCGACCGCCCTGCTCCCTCCGAACCTGCACCTTCCAGTCTGGCACCAGGAAAAGTGGTTCCAGGAGGGAGAGGAGCCCGGGGACTGATCCAAGGTAAGCTGAGGGGTGCAGGAGGCCCCTGTAGATGGAGGATGTGGGGGACAGAGGGAGGTGCGCAGAGACAAGCGAGAGAGAGAGAGAGAGAGAGAGAGAGAGAGAGAGAGAGAGAGAGAGAGAGAGACAGCGCCGAGCCTGGGCAAAGCTGGAAAGCCCGGGAGGGTGCAAAGGCGCCTCCGGAGGACCAGCCACCCAGCAGCAGATTCCATGGAGCCTATGAGAGCAAGATCAAGTCGGAGGAGAGTGCTGAGGGGCGAAGGAACCCCAAGGGGCCAGCGGAGCCGCTGGTGGGAGGTGGTGGGGGTGTGGGGTGGGGGAGCCCGCGCCCAGAGGAGCCGGTGGGACGGGAGGTTCTCGTTTCTTTACCCACCACTTCCTCTCTAGGTCTGAGCAAGGCTTGAGGGGGCCAAGTGGGGAGGAGAGAGGCCCTGGAGGCCTTTCTTGTCTGTGGCACCCTGGGGTCCGGGCAGGAAATGGGGCTTGTGGAAAGGCTGGAGGGACTGGCTGCGCGCCCAGGTAGGCTGCCCGTTCTCCGGCCCCACCTGGCTCACGCTTACCCTTTCTGGTCCCGCTTGCTCCTCTGTCTCTCCAGAACGTTCTTTTTCTTTTTTGAGAAAGGGTCTTGCTCTGTCACCCGGGCTGGACGACGGTGGTGCAATCTGGGCTCACTGCAGCCTTGAACCCCTGGGCTCAAGTGATCCTCCCACCTCGGCTTCCTGTGTAGCTGGGACTACAGATGTGAGCCACCACACCCAGCTAGTTTTTAAATTATTTGTAGAGATGGAGTTTCACTGTGTTGTCCAGGCTGGTCTTGAACTCCTGGGCTCAAGCAATCCTCCCGCCTCAGCCTCTCAAAGTGCTGGGATTCCAGGCATGAGCCCCCCGCCCTGCCCCTCTCCCAGGCTTTCCTGGACACCTAAGGCCTCTCTCTCATCCTGGTTGTGCCCTCTCTGCCTCATTTGCTTCCTCTTCTCACCCCTGTGTCTCCCAGATGCTGTTGACTCCAGAGCTACCCTCTGGGCACGTGGAGGGGACCCCCACGTGGGAGGCAGCCCCGGGGCCCTCAGTGCCCTGTGGGCCCTGCATCCCTATCATGCTGGCCCTGGCCGCCCTGGCCGCGCTCTTCATCCTCACCACTGCTGTGTTGGCTGAACGCCTGTTCCGCCGCGCCCTCCACCCAGATCCCAGCCACCGTGCACCCACCCTGGTGTGGCGCCCAGGAGGAGAGCTGTGGATTGAACCCATGGGCACCCCCCGAGAGCGCTCTGAGGACTGGTACGGCTCTGCAGTCCCCCTGCTGACGGACCGGGCCCCTGAGCCTCCCACCCAGATGGGTGCCTTGGAGGCCCGAGCGACCGCCCCACCTGCCCCCTCAGCCCCGCACTCCACTCCCAGCTCCTTGGGCCCCCAGACCCCACCAGAGGTCCCAGCCCGGAGCACCTTCTGGGGGCCCCAGCCCTGGGAGGGGAGGCGCCCTGCCACAGGCCTGGTGAGCTGGGCTGAATCCGAGCAGGGACCAGAGGCCAGTGCCCAGTTTGGGAGCCCCCAGGCCAGGAGACAGCGGCCAGGGAGCCCGGATCCTGAGTGGGGCCTCCAGCCACGGGTCACCTTGGAGCAGATCTCAGCGTTTTGGAAGCGTGAAGGCCGGACCAGTGTGGGGTTCTGAATCCCCAGGGTCCCCCAGAGACCCTCAAGGAAGACACTGCCTCAGTGGGACCACGGACCCCAGGATCTAGCATTAGGGTTGAGCCTGAGGCTACTACAGGGAAGATGTGCCTCCCAGGCCCCTTCCATCTGGATTCCCTGTCCCTGGGTCCAGGTGGTGGCCAGGCTGTGGGACCAGGGGAAGCCCAGCAGTGCCTCTGCTCAGCTGCCTGGGCTGTGGCTCAGAGACCTGGGGGTGGGGCCAGCTCCAGGCCAGAAGCCTTCAAGATCGCATCCGGATGAAGCAGCGAAGGTACCAGCCAGGCAGGAAATGGCATCGACCAGCCACCTCCACCTCCCTCAGTGTTTACCGAAGCCCCAATACCAGAGCGAAAGTGTCCCGCGGTGCTGAACAGCCTTGGCGTGGCGATGACAGCTGTCAGTTGTGCTGGCGGGAGATGGCAGGGATCCAGCTTCCCAGAGCCACGGATCCTGTTCTCCCTGGCCACTCACCCCCTGTGAGGTCCTCCAGGAAAATACACAAAGAGAGGACCAGACCAGGCAGAGGAGCATTTTATTACAAATGAACTGTGACTTTGACCCTCAAACTGCAAGGGGGAACTTGCTGAGCCAAGCTGGAGCGGGGCTGTCTTGCTGGAGTGGGGACCTGGAGTCAGGAACCCACAGGCTCCTCTGTCCATCCTCCTCCATCTGCACACACTCAGCTTTCGACTCCCACCACTCCATGACGAGCAAGATCCCAGCCAGGGAGAACTGAGTTTCGTCCAATGTGGAGAGGAATGTTGTCCCAGAGCAGGGCAGCTCCCAAACGGTGCCCTCCGGTCATCATCCCTCCCAGCTTGCCGGAGTATCCAGAGAAACAGATTTGCCACAGCTAGGCTTACTTATCATGTCCACCCCATAGAAATGGGGCCCCGAGTACCCTGATCTCCCCTTTAGGAGAAACGGGCAGATGAGCGGAAGATGGAATTTCCATTTTCCTGGGAGTCTAATTTCCCAAACATCATCCTTTTTCTTTTCTTTTCTTTTCCTTGAGACAGAGTCTCATTCTGTCACACAGGCTGTAGTATAGTGACACAATCTCAGCTCACTGCAGCCTCAAACTCCTAGGCTCAAGCGATCCTCCCATTTCAACCTCTAGAGTAGCTAGGACTACAGACGCACACCACCACACCCAGCTAATTTTTGTATTTTTTTGTAGAGACAGGGTCTCACTATACTGCCCAGGCAGGTTTCCAACTCCTGGGCTCAAGTGATCCAGCTGCCTGAGCCTTCCAAAATGCTAGGACTACAGGCATGAGCACTGCATCTGGCCATTTTTTTTTTTTCTTTGAAGTGGTCTCACTCTGTTGCCCAGGCTGGAGTGCAGTGGAACAATCAGCTCACAGCAGCCTTGAACTCCTGGGTGTAAGCGATCTTCCCAGCTCAGTCTCCCCAATAACTGTAGTTATAGATGTGTGCCACCATACATGGCTTTTTTTTTTTCTTTTTTTTTTTTTTTTAATAGAGATGGGAACTTGCTATGTTGCCCAGGCTGGTCTTGAACTCCTAGGCTCAAGAGAGCCACTCATCCCCACCTCCCAAAGTGTTGGGATCACAGGCATGAGCCACATGCTTGGCCAAACTTCAGCCTTGAATATTAGTAATTTTGCCATATTGGTTTACCACCTGTACTATTACTTGCTTTAGGTTTTTCTTTAAAATGGCTCGTTATTCACTTAATAAAATTACTGTAATAGGAATCTGTTTGGTATCACTTCTGTAAGTGGAAAACCAGTCTCGTTTGCTATCAGTAGAAGGTAAAACATGCAAATAAATGCAATGTAAACAAAACTCTTGAGATCTAAATTCGGTTCCCTGCTGGATGCATTGGTCTAAAACTCTGCTCTTGGTTAACAAGAAAAGGGAGTGATGATCTGCAAGTCAGTAAGTGTTAGATACTCTAGCACCACACTGAGACTTTCTTCCGGAAGTGCCGAGGCAGGCAGGCAGTCCCACACAAGGGGCAGGATGCTGTGTTGTTTAACGCTGGCCAGGAAGTTCACCCACAGCCAGGAAACATGCACTCCTTCCTGCACAGAGGGCTGAGGAACACTTGAGCCTCCTATCCAATCCCTTGACCTCCCCTCTAATTGTTGGGATGTTGGAAGTTGAAGGAGCAGCTAGAAGCACCAGGCAGAGGAACCGAGAGCCTAGTCCAGGCTTTTCCCCAAGGTGTACTCACTGGCCAGCAGCCTTAGCACCATCTCTGAGCTGGGCACTGGGAGGGGAGGAATCAAACCTGGGGCCTGCCCTCAAGGAGCTCACAGTCTCTCTAGTGACAGGATGGAGGATAGAGATAGGGGTGAGCTACGATATGGACACAGAACTGACACCAGGTAGAGACCAGGGCCCTGTCCCACCTCTGTCACTCATGAGCTGGGTAATGACATCGTTATCATCATCACCATCAGCTGACAGCACTGGGTTGTGGAGACTGCCCACAACCCAGGAGTGAACAGACCTCAGAGAAACAGAAGATAGAGACAGGTGTTCAGAGCTTAGATGCTTCCATGCCATGGGCTTAGGAGAGGCACTGCAGTGTGGAAGGAACACAGGGACAAGGCCCCCATTTGTGATCTGGCTCTGTCACCTTACTCAGAAACTTCAGCAAAGGGGATGTTGTATTATGGGGCCTCATGTCGTTTGTTCATGTACAAAAAGAGAGCTGAAAATTGAAGAAGATGTTCTATCGGGACTTTTCTAGTTGTGACATTTGAGGATGCTGTAAAATGAAAGATGGTCGGATGGATGGATGGATGAATGGATGGATGGATGGATAAATGGATGGATGGATGAATAGATGGGTGAATGGATGGATTATGAATAAATGGATGAATGATAAATGAATGGATGAATGGATGGTGGATGGATAAATGGATGGATGGATTATGAGTAAATGGACAGATGGATGATGGATGGATGAATGGATGGATGAATAAATGGATGGATGGTTGAATAAATGGATGGATGGATGGGAGAATGGATAGGTGAAGGGATTGGATGTGTGGATAAGTGCATGGATAGATAGACGGATGCACTGATACATGGATTTGTGCATTCAGTCTTCCTAAGGCAGAGTCTAACTTGCTGTCTGCAGAGTCATCTTTATATTCCCAGACCACCTGGGAGTACAAAGCGCTCTCATCACCCAAGCTGGAGTGCAGTGGCATGATCTCAGCTCACTGCAACTTCTGCCTCCCAGGTTTGAGCAATTCTCCTGCCTCAGCCTCCTGAGTAGCTGGAATTAAAGGCATCCACCACCATACTTGGCTAATTTTTGTATTTTTAGTAGAGGCAGAGTTTCATCATGTTGCCCAGACCAGTCTTCAACTCTGGACCTCAGGTGATCCGCCTGCCTTGGCCTCCCAAAGTGCTGGGATTTCAGGCATGAGTCTCTGCACCTGGCCTAATTTCTAATTTTGTTTTGTTGTTGTTGTTGTTGTTGTTGTTGTTGTTGTTGTTTTACTAGAGACGGGGTTTCACCATGTTGATCAGGCTGGTCTTGAACTCCTAACCTCAAATGATCCACCCGCCAAAGTGCTGAGATTACAGGCATGAGCCACCGCGCCAGGCCCCCATTGCTATCTCTTACCCTAATGATCCCCGTGTCTCCATCTCCAACAGTGGCAGATGCGGTCCTCCTAAATCTATTCTCCCATTATTCTAAAGGAACAGCACTAATTCTGATATGGTTTGGCTGTGTCCCCACCCAAATCTCATCCTGAATTGTAATTCCCATAATCCCCATGTGTCCTGGGAGGCAACTGAATCATGGGCACGGTTACCTCTATGCTGTTCTCATGATAGTAAGTTCTCACAAGATCTGACGGCTTTATAAGGGGCTTTGCCCCCTTTTGCTTGGCATTTCTCCTTGCTGCCACCATGTGAAGAAGGCCATGTTTGCTTACCCTTCTGCCATGACTGTATAAGTTTCCTAATGCCTCCCCAGCCATACTGAATTGTGAGTCAATTAAATATCTTTCCTTTTTAAATTGCCCAGCCTTGGATATGTCTTTATTAGTAGCATGAGAATGGACTATTCTTTTTTGAAATGGAGTCTCACTCTGACACCCAAGCTGGAGTGCAGTGGCGCAATCTCAGCTCACTGCAACCTCCGCCTCCCAGCTTCAAGCAATTCTCTGCCTCAGCCTCCCGAGTAGCTGGGATTACAGGCGCCCACCACTGCACCTGGCTAACTTTTATATTTTTAGTGGAGATGGGATTTCACCATGTTGGCCAGGCTGCTCTTGAACACCTGACCTTGTGATCCACCTGCCTCGGCCTCCCAAAGTGCTGGGATTACAGGCGTGAGCCACTGCACCCGGCCTTTTTCTTTTTTGAGACAGGGTCTTGCTCTGTTGCTGAGACTGGAGTGCAGTGGTGCAATCACAGCTCACTGCAGCCTTGACCTCCTTAGGTTTGGGTAATCCTCCCACCTCAGCCTTCCAAGTAGCTGGGACTACAGTGTGTGCCACCACACCAGGCTAATTTTTGTATTTTTTGTAGAGATGGGGTCCAACCATGTTGGCCAGGCTGGTCTTGAACTCCTGGGCTCAAGTGATCCACCTGCCTCAGCTTCCCGAAGTGCTGAGATTCCAGCCGTGTGCCATGAACTTGGCCAGCACCATTCTTTCTTTCTTTTCTTTTCTTTTTTTAGTACCTTCCACAAAGCTTCTAGAACCCAGCCATTTCTCTTTTCTTTTTCTTTCTTTCTTTTTTTTTTTTTTTTTTTTTTTTTTTTTTTTTTTTTTAGATGGAGTCTCACTCTGTCACCCAGGCTGGAGTGCAATGGCACGATCTTGGCTCACTGCAACCTCCGCCTCCCAGGTTCAAACGATTCTCCTGCCTCAGCCTCCTGAGTAGCTGGGATTACAGGCATGTGCCACTGCGCCCAGCTAATTTTTGTATTTGTATTTTTAGTAGAGACAGGGTTTCAACATTTTGGCCAGGCTGGTCTCGAACGCCTGATCTTGTGATCCACCCGCCTCGGCCTCCCAAAGTGCTGGGATTACAGGCGTGAGCCACCGCGCCCGGCCAGCACCATTCTTTTTAACTGGGCTTGTGGCTACACAGAGGAAAGGCTGCATTTCCCAGACCCCCTTGAGGCTAAGGGCGACCATGCGACTGGTTCTGGCCCCTCTTCCCCACTCCCCTTTCCTCTCCTGCTGTTTAGAATCCAGACATGATGGTGAGACAACGTGGATGAGGGCAACATCCCAGGGTTGGCTGAGCCAGAAGATGGAAGGAGCCTGAATCTCTGTGGCCAGCACAGAAGCCCTGAACTGCCTGCTTTGGTGTAATTACATGACAGAGAACCACCGCCTTCTTTTGTATAAACCACTGTCGTCCTGGGTCTCTGTAACATGAACCCAAGCCTATCTCTTCACCTACGTCTCTCTCCTGACTTCAAACCCTATCTAACAGCCATCTTGATATCCCTCATGAAGACCTCAAAATTATCTTAGAATGTGTGACCACCCCCACCAAGCCTGATCCTCTCCCCACTTTCTCCTCGGCTCCTTTCTGTCTCCTCTCACGCCCCTGACTTCTGCCCGCTTTTCCTCATGCTTACTTCTCCCATCCTGGTTCTGCTCCACTCATTGCTCCTAAACTGCACCTAAGTGGTATCCCTGTCTGCATGTCCCATATTGTACCTGGAGTGAACCTGCAAAAAAAAAAAAAAATGCTTAAAAGGGTCAAACGTGGTGGCTCACACCTGTAATCCCAGCTACTCAGGAGGCTGAGGTGGGAGGACTGCTTGAGACCAGCCTAGGCAACCTAGCAAGGCCCATTCTCTACCAAAAAAAATTGTACTTATTTATTTATTTTATTTTATTTTTATTTTTTGAGACAGAGTTTTGTTCTGTCACCCAGGCTGGAGTGCAGTGTTACACTCTCAGCTCACTGTGGCCTCTGCATCCCAAGTTTAAGCAATTTTCCTGCTTCGGCCTCCCAAGTAGCTGAAATTACAGGTGTGAACTATCACACCTGGAAAATGTTTGTATTTTTAGTAGAGATGGGCTTTCTCCATGTTGCCAGGTTGGTCTTGAACTTCTGACCTCAGGTGATCCACCCACCTAGGTCTCCCAAAGTACTGGGATTACAGGCATGAGCCCCCGCACCTGGCCAGGTTTATAAAAAAACTTAAAAAATAAATTAGCCAAGCATGATGGCTTATGCCTGTAATTCCAGGAGGCTGAAGCAGGAGGATCCCTTGAGGTTAGGGGTTCAAGGCTACACTGAGCTATGATCACACCACTAAACTCCATTGTGGGTGACAGACAGAGAATCCATCTCTAAAGAAAAAAAAATCGCTTAAGATTTTCCAACTCCTGATCATTTCAACAAACACTCCCTCTCTTTTGGAACATCCGTATTCCTCCCTCCCGTTACTTGGTCTTGGCTAACTCTAGGTCTCAACCTAGCTGTCAATTTCTAGGGCTGTCTTCCTCACAGGCAAAACTTGCAGAAAATGAGGCCATCTGTAAAGTCTAATGTGGACCCCGAGTCATTAGGAATGCCCTAGGCTGCATGTAACAGAACAATGACTAAAGCAATGAAGTCATACAGCGTGGAGAGCCGATACACAGAGCATGGTGGAACGGTGGATTGGAAGGAGTTTAGGGGCCAGGCACAGAGGTTCATAGCCTATAATCCCAGCACTTTGGGAGGCCAAGGCTGGAGGATCACTTGAGCCCAGGAGTTTGAGACCAACCTGGACAATATGGCAAAACCCCATCTCTAAAAAAAAAAAAAAAAAAATTAGCTGGGCCGATGGTGTAGTCCCAGCC